AGGTAGAGGACTCAATGCTTAATATAGGTATGCCAACAGCTTGACTGCTTGATGTCCATGTGTAAAGAAGACGATTTCTAAAGAATACATTAATTTTAGTGGTTTTGGTCCCACCAGTCTGGCCCAAGGGGGGGGGGGGGGCATAAAAATTCACAATTTTTGTTCCCCTTCGGCCATAAATGCTATATACCGAATTTGGTTAAAATTGCTTCAGTGGTTTCAGAGAAGAAGCTGAAAATGTTCAAATGTTTACACACGATACACGACGCACGACAACGGACGAAAATGGATGGTAATAGGTCACCTGAGTGACTCAGGTGGACTTAAATACCCTTGAATGACCTTCTTGTCCAAAAATCAATTTCCATCTGTGCACTGCGCACCGTTTTTGCCCAGATATGAAATGTTTGATCACTGAAAGTGGTCCGTGAGGTTGCTCCAGAAGTAGCCCCCAGTTAAAAGTCAAATAACAAATAGTCATTGACTATCATATTGTCTAGTAACCATCTGATCCCTTAGTGTCCATACCAATTTCACTCAACTTCCTGTTGGCCCAATTTTATGGATCCATTTCCAACTTATTGTATGCTGCTTACTTAAAACCTTGACTGTCTAAAATAAATATTTTTGTTTTCAATTTTTTTTTTTTAGATTTCTCTAAATGAACCTCCTGCAGACGCCATACTGTCTGCTTTAGCACGCTCTTTTAGCGTCAAACACCGCACACGGTAGAATTTTTCCTCTGAGTTTTTAATTAGTACACATGTAAAGAACACAAATATATAGAAAAAAAATAAAATTGTTTTCTTCTATATAATAGCCTCACTGGTGTTTCGATTTATTTTTTTTTTCAAACTAAAGTTTTGAAGTAAAATGTTAAATATAGTATGTAAATATATTATTTTTTCGTTCATCTTACCTTGGTTAGTCGTGCAAGTGTCGATAAGAATAGAACAATGAAGGATATGGAAATAACGAACAGTATTCAATCTCAACGTCCATTAAACAAATGTACAAAATAAGAGCAGAGCAAACACGGACCTCCGAAACATCAGAGGTGGGATCAGGTGCCATGGAGGAGTGAGCATCCCCTGCCGACCGGTCACACCCGCCGTGTGCTCGTTGTCATAATCAGGAAATAACGGAAAAAATCCGTGGTCAATTCAGTGTATAAATAATGGACTAACAATTGGTATGAAAAACGTCAGTCAGCATTTCATTCAAAGATAAATTGTATTTGCTGACAAGGTCATTGTATCGACCATAGAATTTACGAAATGATGACTTTAAACGAGACTGTTGATATTCTTGTTTCATCAACTTGCTTGTCAATAATTTACCTCGTTTAAGAAATTGTTCATACGTAGAGCATGCTCTTGCGTATCGAATCAACTGAGATATAAATACTCCGTATGCAGGTGATGAAGGTATATTGCTGCATAAGTAAGGGAAATTGACGATAGAAAAGTTAAAGTCATCACGTTTATCATATAGCTTGGTTGTTAGATTACCATTAGTGTCTTTTTCAAGTAAAATATCCAAGTATGAAGCAGAAGTGTCGGACTCTGTGGTATCTTTTATCTCAAGCTCACCAGGATATATCGTGTCGACGTACGAATGGAAATTATCATTATTAATTGACAATACGTCGTCGATATATCTAAATGTCGAGTTGAAGGCCACAGCAAGTGTTTTCTTCTTTTCACGCAAAAGATTTTGCATAAATTCTGCTTCATATGAATATAAAAATAAGTCTGCTAATAACGGAGCGCAATTTGTACCCATGGGAATTCCAATAGATTGTTGGAATACCTGGTCTCCAAAAACCACATAGATATTGTCAATCAGAAACTCAAGCATCTTCTTGATGTCAACTTCAGAGTACTTATGTGTGCAATCAGAATCTGTTTTAACAAAATAATTTTTCAAATGACCAATGACGAGGTAAGTAAACTTACGAGTTCCATTTTTGTTGAAGAAGCAGCTGTCAATTATATCAAAAAGCCTGGATTTTAATTTGTCGTGCGGAATTGTTGTGTATAAAGTTGAAAAGTCGTAAGTTTTTATGCTGTTGATTTTTGTAAAGTCTTGTGATTTCAAATTGTCCAAAAGTTCTTTAGAATTTTTAAGTATCCACATCTGATTTACACCACTTCTTGAATATATAGTTTTACAGTACTCTTGAAGTTTTTCCTTCACTACTGTCAATATTTTAGTGAGAAGTAACGAAAGAGGCTTGGTTGAACATTTACTGGAACCTGCAATGTATCTTTGTTTGTAAGGATTCTTATGAAGTTTCGGAATCCAATATATATAAGGTAGTTCAAATTCATTTTGGCTCTGTGGAATATTAAAAGTATTCAAAACTGACAGGTGATTTTGAAGAATTTCTTCCTTAGAGAGAGAAGTATATGTATAAGTAGGATTACCACTTGTAGAATTAAATCCAAGTTCTTCTAGAATGCAATTTATATAATGAGCCTTACAAACGAAGACAATGTTGTTACCTGCTTTGTCGGCAGGAACCAGTACGTACTGATCGTGTAATCTATCTAATTCTTTTTTCACTTCTGGTTTATTGAACACAGAAGGATAGATGGTTTTCATTTTGCCCGTTAATCTTTTAATACGTGACTTTAACATGGATCTGATACATTTAATCCATTCTGACAAGGTGTCAATGTCTTCTTTTTCATATCTAGCCCATCGTCTGGCGTAATTTTCAACAGAATCCATAATATTTATGAAATTCCGACGCCAGTTGAAGGATCGGGGTTCCCTATATTTAGGACCTTTTAAAATAAGTGATCTAAGGTCCTCATTACGAACTATTTTTACGTCACCTGTAATAACGTGTCCAGCAGGACTATAGTTATAGGGCGAAGAAGAACATGAACACGAAAGGGGATTATTTTTCAGATAGTCGATATCCAGGCCATGTAAAGTGTTTTTGTAATTGAAAAGTTTGGAAGCAATGGTCGATGTATATTTGTAGGAAATACAAGGCGTAGTCTTTAACTTGAAATATGGTGGAATACAAGACTGGACCCTTTTGTGATTAAGAATATTACTAATATTAACCGCGTCAATTCCTTTATTGGCATATTGAAGTTTAAGGAAAAGACGGATTGTTTTAGCTGCATTTTCTTCCGTGAAACGTGCGGGTTTAAAAAGCCTATGATGTGCAATATCCATAATCACAGAACCGAGCCTATATTCAGGTGTCGAGGAATCTAAATTTGGATGTTCCTTGGTCTTTTCAAGAAGACTATTTAAAAGTTTCAAAGGGACAGAGTAAAGTTTGGTTCGAATATGATGTAGACCTAACTGTTGATTTACATAAGGTAGTAATGAATCAAAAGAGACGTCGTGTATTGCAGGTTTATTGTACGAACGATGTCCATGACTACGCTTACGTCTCTGAGTATTGTTAAAAAGTCCCATCACAGTTACATTATTACACTGCGGGCTTGTAAGATTTCCAACACTATCGACATTGTCATTACATCCATAGGGAAAGGCTGTCCCTAGTTTCCTAATCCAAACTTCTTCACGTTTTCTACGGAAAGGTGTACTCAACGACGGACTATTTGTGTGGTGATAAATCTTTTCCAGAATTCTAACTTTCATTGATAAAATAGAATGATCAGGTGAATTAAAATGTTTATATAAAAGCTGCTGACCACAATGTAACGCTAATACATACATAACAACATGTCGAGAAAAAAAAAACGAAAGTAGACATAATTAACAGTTTAAAAAAATTGGATTTGATTTACTCTAAAATATCCTGATGCCTTGGTTTGTATAATGTGACCAAGTGAAATAATAATGACGCTGTAGGTTTCTATATTTATTCACATAACAGATAAGATATGTTTTATTACTAATTCAGTGCCCAAATGAGCATAATGAGAACTTAAGAAGGAATGGCCTTAAAAATTGTTGAAAGGAAAAAAAAAGTAAATTAGACATACATGAACCTACCATCGATAATCTTAGTCGTTTATGTAATATATCAGAAACAACACCAGAATATATTCTCTATAGTTTATCTAATAAGCACAAATATATACAGCCTGACTATACATTGTATATCAGTAAGCAAGTAAGTGTCTTTGTACCAAAATCATTTTATATTTTATAGTCTTTGGAGCCTGGGAATCAGGAAATGTAGGTGACTCAATTTCAGAATAAAGTCAGTAGGTTACTGAAATCTGTGAGAGTCAGAGAGCTAACTTTGCTTACGTGTCAAATCAATTATAAACAGATTGTGATACAAATCTAGTAAATTCCTAAACATTACAGTTTATTTACTAGGAAAACTTGTAATTTAAAGTTATAAATATATAAAAAAAAATACCTTGTGCGATGTGGAAGTGTCTAATCAGGGGGCGATAAATATATAATAAAATACCTTGTGCGATGTGGAAGTGTCTAACCAGGGGGCGTCCGGTCGGATCTGCACTTATTTTGAATTTAGACTTGCTTATAATATAACAAAAGAAACGATCTGATTTGATGGTTCATTATGAACAGCCAATGAAAATTCTTCACCAATAGCATAGGCGTCGGAACCGGGGGGGCTAGGGGGGCTTAGCCCCCCCACATTTTTTTCCAAATATATACGTAGTCTAGGCATTGAACATTGCTTAGTAGGTTTAGCCCCCCCACTTTCCACAGACACGTCGCAGTATAGGTTAGAAATGGGTAAAGTAATGAAAAAGTAGTGGAGTTTGGAAAAAAATTTCGGTACTGAAGTTTGAACCAACCTACCTACCCCCCCCCCCCCCCCCCCCCCCCCCCCCCACGAAATAGGATTTTCGTCTTTGGGAAAAGAAAATTTCCTCTTTTTTTTTTTTTTTTTTTGCTTGTCAAGTTTTTTGGAAGGTACATGTATAAGAAATTTTTTTTATACACTTAGCCCCCCCACTTTCAATTTGCTTCCGACGCCAATGAATAGTAATTCAAAGAAAATGCCCCACCTGCGCACACATCTTTCAATTATTTAAAAACGTAGTTTAAATGCAAATTTTCAATAAATATATTTAATATATGTAAATCCGCCCACAATAATTAACGTGTACATATATAAATGCCTTGTATATAGAGAGAGACTGGATCGCTGTTGCTTTTACTGTTAATAGGAAAGTTATAGCTCTTTAAAAAAAACAGCAAGTCCCTACAATTCTTTTTTATATCAATTAATCGAGTGGCTTAATTTTTTTTCTATACATCAAAGAATATAAAATTGCTAATAAAAGTAAACAGATAAATATTACAGCATTTTCTTGTATGCCAATATTTTGTCTGTCAAGAACGCACAATTGTTGATGAGTAAATTTTGAAAGTGAACATGCCAAAATAACCAAAAGGTGCACTGTGTTGCCTTTGGTATATCTGTGCGTGAGAATGCTTGCTCGGAACAAGATTCAATATATTTTTATCTTTCTATATACTTAGAGGCACGTAGGATCAGGGGATGGCGGAAGAGGGGCACCACCATCCCCTCCTCAACACCCCTCCCCCCCCCCCCACATAACAAATGTATGACTGACTGAATTGAATGACTGCCCCCCTTTTAATTTGAGTATAGTAAATTATACTAATGATGATAACGTATAAGAAAAAAATTGGCACTTGAAGTAGTTTGACCCCTCCCCCCAACACACGAAATTTCAAGTCTGGACAACTTCCTTCCCCCTTTTCTTTTTTGTTTGTCGAGTTTTTTTTCAGTTAGGTTGAATTTTAATTCTCTGGTTGGCCCCTTACTTTAAAAAATTGATGCTACGTCACTTACTTACAAGCCATTAGATTATCATTCTTATCAGGAGATGAAACTGTAAAAGAACCTTGACGGTCCAGTCTTTTCGCCTACACTCTAAAGATGTACATTTATCGGGTTTTGGTTTAGATGGAAAAAACTTGAATTATTGAGGATAATTTTTATAAATCTTTGATCCTCAACATGTGCCGATCCAGGAATTTTACCAGGAAGATGGAGGATGCTTTAAACTAACAAGAAAAAACATTCAAAAATTAATGTCAAGAAAAAGAAACGAAAGTAGACAACGCATAAGGCACGCCAAATTCACAAAAATGAGCAAAACCTAGTTTCACAATTGATAAACTTGGTTAATCGACTGTAAACTTTAGTTTACAAACCGTGAACTATAGTTAACGATTCGTTAAGTATAGTTTTCATCTGTTAAACTATATATAACGGTTGTTAACTATAGTTTACGAATGCTAATCTAAGTTTATCTGTCTGTAATAAAACGTTAACAACAGATTTTGTTGGTAAACATAGATTCACGTCTGTAAACTATAATTTACGATCGTTAACTATACAAAACATTTCACCATTGTCGAACACTTCCATTGTTAACTTATTGGACAGCCACAGGTAAGGTCTAGTTCTGCTTGGGTGACTACCTGGCGCTGTTCATCATGTTAGGCCAAAGAAAACCAGTTTTGGTTTTTCTTCTGTCTTTATTAATAGTAGGAATCATCGAGAGGTGTTTTATATCGATATATATGAACATTAACTTTGTTTAGTCTTATTTATCCGCATTGCGACATTTATACTACGCATGCGTAAAAGTCAGTTCTACTAAATTTTTTACAATTTATTCATTTTACAACGCAACGACCACGGATGAAGACTTACATTTTAATTTCGAAAAAAAAGACCTTCAGAATCGGGTGTTTTGACGATGCCATTTATCGATTACATCAAGATGCCTCAGTTCAGGTTTTTACTGTGAAATCCGGATATACGAGGGGCTATCAAAAAGTTCGTGGACTAGCGCCATTAAATTAAAACCGCTTTAGGTACATCAATGACTTTTATATTATTTAGTTATCATCATCTTTTCTATCTATAGAATAAACCACAAACTATAAATTTTATTTTTAAATAAATTAGTAAAGTTTTTGTAAGCAATGGTATGTCCAGGCGGCGCAATCTCGAAAACGACGTTTTTTCCGACTTAAGTGTAACTGAGATAAACTACTTTGATATGAACATTTGACATCCAAAAATCCCGTTAATTCAGGTATGTGTTGGGACACTATTTTTCCATAAATTATGGAATTTTTACCTCATTCTGGAAGTTCTATGAAACTTTATTGTAAATTTTACATGGAGTGTCCAAACAAATATTTCCTTGAAAATGACGACAAAAGGGGGGAGAGGCTTCCTGTACCAACATTCGATAAAGTTTTGCCCCTGGAAAAAAACTGGTATACATCTAGGAAATGTTTAAACTGGCTACGGAGAAATAATTTGTATCCAGATTACTTGTTTTTTAAATGCCAAAATAGATTCAGAGTGAAAACTCCAAAGGGGATGCAAAGTTAACGTCAATATGTAGTGAAGGTTTGAAAAATCTCTCACGTCAAATAATGACGTTGATTATGTGTTTTAGCTGTATTGAACTCCAAAAAACAAATATGCTGGAACAATCAAGCGAGGATCTTTCCCAATGTATAAATCCATTTGCAATAATATATGCATTGAATGCTGCTGTTCATGACATTGTAAAGTCATGAAAACAAGATGGGTTGAAGTCCTTACTCAACTCTAAGGAGTCTCGTCAAAATAAGTGTGCGAGGTAGAGGAAGCGGACTTTGAAAAATAGTAACAGTGTCGGACGTCATGAAAATAATCGGCGACGGCGCCGGGTGATCATATAATGTCGTTTTTATTTTATAATAATTTGGTAAATAATGAACGTATCAAGCTAAAATTTTCAACATTTCTTCATTTTTTGTTGTTTTATGTTCCTTATAAATTTTGTAAGCTCAGGCAATATAGTATTAATTTTACAGTCTCAGTCCACGAACTTTTTGATATCCCCTCGTATATTCTTATGTTTCGGAATTTGCAAGAAACAGTTCCCGTTAAAAGGTAATTTTTGTAAAGCAATAGGATTTGAAGGATTTTACTCAAACAACTGTTTATTAAAGCATTATCTATGAAATTGGGAGATTGTTCCTGATGTATTTTTTTTTTTAAATGCAATTCTCTTTTGTGAGCAGGTTTCGAACTCGGAAGGATTTTACTCCAGCCACTTCTTAAAACGACAGGCACTCGCTCAAAGTATGCAGGACTAGATGGACAAATGGTCATAAATCACCGGACGAAATTACAGATTCCGTTGGAATTTCGTGAGCTAAATTTTGTGCTAAATGCGGAAAAATGGATATTTCAATAAACAAAAAGCCCTAGGTTGTGTGTAAGAAAACACATGCTTCTCTATCATCTTTTGTGTCTTTTGGATTCTATATATGTTCCGTGGATCAATCATTGTGAAATGAACGGTGAATATAGGAAATTTATGATCGGAGCCACGGATGCGTTTACAATAATGAATCTGAGACATTCAATTCACCGGATTATTTGTGCCATTTTCAATAGGATTTTTTTGTGAAATATTAACATTGAACGCTACTAATTTCCTACATTGTTCATATTAAATTGTTTGATTTGTCATTGCCTTTACCCGGTGTTTACTTATTTGCCTCGCCCTTTGTTCTCATTTTAACGTTACCTGTACCTGTCCAATAAGTTGAATCTTATTGGACACCTACAGGTAACTTATTGGTCGGGGTGCAGGATAATAACAAATTTATTGAACCAGGTTTAACAAAAGATGACGTCACAAAAATGTTTTAAAAGTAAGTGTTATAAGCCTCAAACTTACCATTATGTCAGATATTAGACTCTCCTCGGCGCTAACGCGCCTCGGGTCGTCTAATATCTGACATAATGGACAGTTTTCGGCTTATAACCATTACTTATCGACTGTGAAACTATGATTAGCTCATTTTTGTGAATTTGGCGTGCTAAACAGAGTTTCACAATTGACAAGTAAAATTGATGCAAAGCATCAAATCGGCCGCAAACAAAATTTAGCATTTAAAAAAAGAACTTTAAAAAGCGTCCATTGCAAGGAAAGAGCCCCAAGGAAAGTACGTCAAGAATATCTAAATAATTTTTATTTCAGACTGTCTTCCAAGGAAAATTAATGATTTATATATAGAAAAAAACAAATAGACATTTTACCGCATTTGCTCATAAATAGATTAATCGATGTAAAAAAATTTCAGTGATATATAAAATGAGAATAATTCATTGTCATCAAAATGAAGAATTAGATGTAGAACTTTAAAGATATATATTTATTGAAGTTATCATAACACGTGTATCAATCGGACACGTGTTAATCTAGTGTATATGAAGAGTGTCGGTCTGATTGGTTAAAGTATTTATAGAATACCTGTTCTACAGGTATTCTGGTAAAGCACGCACGCTTTAGCGTGTGTAAGATTTAAATGCCATTCGAAGGCTCTTTCTCAGTGCAGTCAGACATTGCCCCGCCCACCCACCCTCACAAGTATCACGTTTGTTTTATTAATTATATGTTTCGTTTTGTAGATTGGATGAGTTGTCGAGGAGGAAAGTTGGAAATGTATATTTTGTGTATAATATTAAACTGCACTTACGAGAGCGCTTCTGTACCTACAGTACATATATACGTGTTGTTATTTATTTTATAAATTATTTATGTTCGTTTGAGTGGAAACGAATAAGAACATAAGAACCACGCACTGATACCCTTGTTCTTGGTCACGTGATAATGCATGTACATGTACCCATGATTTCTGCAGAATAGGCTATGCTGAAAGCCGCGGTGCAAAATGTAGAAAAAATTCTTTGTGTCATTTGCAGCTGCAGAGCATAATCAAAACAATTTTTTCTAGTTGAAAAACTTTTAAAAATTTTATTCACCACGCACTTTTACCACGTCATTATTATCCGGAAAATCTTGACGATTTCCTTTCATATCTTACGTACACTCCCAGACTGGGGAGTATCAATTGTAAACTCTTCCTATATAAATTATCAATTATCTGATGAGAAATTATACTGAAATTGAAACATAATAACAATAATTAATACAGAAAGTTTTTAAAAATTTTTACTCAATGATTTTTATTTGTTATCAATTAAGAATTATTTCACTGAACTAATGATAAAAATAACGTCTCATTTCCCCATGTGCTTTTACTTACACAACCACAAATAGATCGGCCGCTGCTGCGGCCGATAATAAAGTAGGTTTATCGACTGTAAACTTTAGTTTACAAAACGTGAACTATATATATGGCACGCCAAACTCACAAAAATGAGTTAAACATAGTTTCACGATCGATAAACTAGGTTTATCGTTTGTAAACTATAGTTTACGGACTGTGAACTATAGTTAACAACGTTAATCTATATTTTACATCTATAAACCATAGTTAACGCGATAATCTATGTTTCACAACCGTAAACTATACTTAACACCGATAACAATCATTTGAGATTGCAAAACATAGATTATCTGATAAACACAGTTTCAAGATTTGTAAACTATAGTTTACAAACCGTTAACTATAGTTAACGATCTGATAAATATAGTTTCACGATTTGTGAAACTATGATTAACAACTATTAACTACAGTTTACGATTGTAAACTATAGTTTACAAACGTGAATCTATGTTTATCAACAAAATCTATTGTTAACGAGGCTGGGGGTGGCAGCCATTTTTAGACTATTTCAATCTCCTTTAAAAGGAGAGCTCCATATAAAGATATACAAAAATGATCAAATTTTAAAACTAAAATCTTTGAATTTTTTCTTTGTCAAATGATAGTTGACAGCTAAAGATACCGTATCTAAAAAATAAGTTAAATCTGGTGGTTAATTTGGGATTAAATTGTTGACCCGCCAGCCTCCTTAACGCTTATTACAGGCAGATAAACTTAGATTAGCATTCGTAAACTATAGTTAACAACCGTAAAAAAAAGTTTAAAACTATAGTTAACGAATCATTAAGTGTAGTTCACGGTTTGTAAACTATAGTTTACAGTCGATAAACCTAGTTTATCAATTGTGAAACTAGGTTTAACTCATTTTTGTGAATTTGGCGTGCCATATATATAGTTTACAAATTGTTAAGTATAGTTTTCATCTGTAAAACTATATTTAACGGTTGTCATCTAAGGTTTACGAATGATAATCTAAGTTTATCTGTCTGTAATAAAACGTTAACAATAGATTTTGTTGATAAACATAGATTCACGTCTGTGAACTATAATTTACGATCGTTAACCAAAGTTAAGAGTTATAAACCATAGTTTACAATCGTGAAACTGTATTTATCAGATAATCTATGTTCTGCAATCGCAAATGATTGTTTTTGGTGTTAAGTATAGTTTTCAGTTGTGAAACATAGATTATCGCGTAAACAATCAATATAGATGAACGTTGTTAACTATAGTTAACAGTCCGTACACTATAGTTTACAACCGATAAACCTAGTTTATCGACTGTGAAACTATGTACGGCACGCCAAATTCACAAAAATGAGATAAACCTAGTTTCACATTTGATAAACTAGGTTTATCGAATGTAAACTATAGTTTACAAACCGTAAACTATAGTTAACGAATCGTTAAGTATAGTTTACGATTCGTTAAGTATAGTTTTCATCTGTAAAACTATATTTAACGGATGTTAACTATAGTTTACGATTGATAATCTAAGTTTATCTGTCTGTAATAAAATTAACAATAGATTTTGTTGATAAACATAGATTCACGTTTGTAAACTATAGTTTACAATCATAAACTATAGTTAAGAGTTGTTAATCATAGTTTCACAAATCGTGAAACTATATTTATCAGATCGTTAATTATAGTTATATTATCTGATAAATACAGTTTCACGATTTGTAAACTATAGTTTACAAATCGTGAAACTGTATTTATCAGATAATCTATGTTTTGCAATCGCAAATT